TCATGGGACGACATGGACTAGGAGAAAGGAACGAAAATGGTGAGAGATTTGCAAACCTATTAGACTTCAACGAACTGGTCATCGGTGGCACAATATTCCCACACAAGCGCATACACAAAGCCACATGGATTTCACCGGATCACAATACTCAGAACCAAATCGGAACGACCAGGAAGGACGTGAGAACCAAGAAAGAAACTGACAGAACCAAATCGACCGTATCTGTATCAATAAAAGTTCAGAAGGACCATGGAGTGTATGAGAACCAAGAGAGTATCTGATATAGCCTCAGATCACAACTTGCTGATCTCCAAAATGAAATTGAAACTAAAGAAGCACTGAACAACGGGGCAGACAACATCACACAAGTTTAATACAGTCTATCTTCGGGATACAGATAGCCCTCAGCATTAAGAACCAGGCCTTGCAGGATTTCCTCGATGGAGAGGAAGCAACATCGGAGAACAAATGGAAAGGGATCAAGGAGGCAATCACTTCAACATGCCACGAAGTTCTGGGTCACAAGAAGTAACATCATAAGGAATGGATCTCTGTTGCTACTCTTGCGAAAATTGAAGAAAGGAGGAACAAGAAGGCAGCAATCAATGTCAGGCGAACAAGACAATAGAATGTTAAGACACAGGCTGCACACACAGAAGCAAACAGGAAAGTGAAGAAGAACATCAGAGCTGACAAACGAAAATATTTGGAAAACCTAGCAATGGCAGCGGAAAAGGCTGCAAGAGAATGAAACATCTGACAATTGTACGATTCAACAAAAAAGCTCGTTGGAAACTATCGTAAACCAGAACGATCAGTGAAATGCAAGGAAGGGAAAGTATTCAGCAACACTGAAGAATAGCGTAACAGGTGGGTAGAGCATTTTAAGGAACTATTGAATCGACAAGCTCCACTGAACACACCCAACATCGATGCAGTATCCACGGACCTCCCAATTAATATTGGCGCATCTACGATTGATGAGATCAGTATGGCCATCAGACAAATCAAGAGCGGCAAAGCAGCAGGACCAGACAACATTCCAGCAGAGGCAATGAAAGCAGACGTGGAAGCGACTGCGAAAATATTTCACACCCTCTTCAAGAAGATTTGGGATGAGGAACAAGTACCATCAGATAGGAAAGAAGGATACCTCATCAAAATACCAAACAAAGGCGATCTCAGCAAGTGTGAGAACTACAGAGGCATCACTCTTCTTTCAATACCAGGCAAAGTCTTCAACAGGGTATTGTTAAACAGAATGAAGGACTTCGTAGACGTCCAACTTCCAGACCAACAGGCTGGATTTCGTAAGGATCGATCGTGTACTGACCGAATTGTTACATTACGGATCATTGTGGAACAATCAATTGAATGGAACTCACCACTCTACACCAACTTCATCGACTACGAGAAGGCATTCGATAGCGTGGACAGGAAAACACTATGGAGGCTTCTTCGACACTACGGGGTGCCTGAGAAAATAGTTAACATCATACGGAATTCTTATGATGGATTCAACTGCAAAATCGTACATGAGGGACAGCTAACAGACTCTTTTGAGGTGAAGACCGGTGTGAGGCAAGGTTGCTTACTCTCACCCTTTCTCTTTCTCCTGGTCATCGACTGGATTATGAAGGCGTCGACATCTGGAGGGAGGCACGGCATTCAGTGGACAGCGAGGACGCAGCTGGACGATCTGGACTTCACAGATGACCTGACTCTTCTGTCTCACACGCAACAACAAATGCAGGAGAAGACGACCAGTGTAGCAGCAGCCTCCGCAGCAGTAGGTCTCAACATACATAAAGGAAAAAGCGAAATTCTCCGATGCAACACAACATGCACCAACCAAATCACTCTTGATGGAGATGCCTTGGAGGACGTTAACACCTTTACATATCTTGGCAGCATCATCGACAATCAAGGTGGATCCGATGTAGATGTGAGGGCGTGGATTAGCAAAGCAAGGGCTGCATTTCTACAGTTGAAAAATATTTGGAACTCCAAAGAAATATCAATCAACACCAAAATCAGGATTTTCAATACAAATGTCAAGACAGTTCTACTGTACTGAGCGGAAACTTGGAGAACTACGAAAGGCATCATCCACAAGATACAAGTGTTTATCAACAGTTGTCTACGCAAACTACTTCGGATTCGTTGGCTAGACACCATCAGCAACAACGTACTTTGGGAGAGAGCAAACCAGATTCCAGTGGAGGAGGAAATCAGGAAGAAGTATTGTAAGTGGATAGGACACACACTACGGAAAGCACCCAGCTGCGTCACGAGACAAGCCCTCACATGGAACCCTGAAGGCAAAAGTAAAAGAGGAAGGCCAAGGAAAACATAAAGCCGAGAAATAGAGAAAGATATGAGAGGAATGAACAAACATTGGACAGAACTGGAGAGGGAAGCCCAGGACAGAGTTGGTTGGAGAAAACTGGTGGGCGGCCTAGCTCCATTGGGGGTAACTGGCGTAAGTAAGTACTAAAACAATATTTCTGGATTTTAATACATATATGTGATGAGTAAGAACCAACATCTAAATACTCCCGTCGCTGAGTCAAATGAGTCTACTGAGATTTTCATGGGCACTTCTGTTTCCATACTGTTGGGGGTTTTCAGTGGTTTCTTAATTCGGGAGAACAGTGGAAGAAGTTAGATATGCGCCTCTACCAGTTCCAAGACAAAACAGCAATTTATATGGGTAAGAAACGGTTCTATTATTAATTACTTAATATAAATAATTACCTAAACATAATTCTTTAACACAATTTAACACAATGTGTTTCCCATTCTGCGTATAAGTCCAAAATTGTACCTTTCCAGTCCAGATTCAAAGTTCGCCGCCCAGGGTGTCAAATCCAATATGGCTGTATCAATTTAAACAGCGTAATACAGTTCAGCAGAAAACACAGAAACTCCAATAGGGGTACAAAAAATAGAAACCATAACAAATTACAGATATTAATACCACAAAATAGGATCAAACAGAGTACCAAAATGTAGCACAGAAATGGTTAGTAAGAACATATTACAAAGATGTGGATGGAGGGATTTTCCAAAAACAAAGCCTTCAAATTGGATTCTACACATATGTACAAACATAATTGACCCATTGATGTGATCTGTTACTGCAGAAAACGCTTTCTTTTCAGTGTCATATAAATTAATAGGTCAACAGTCTCGAGAAAGATGCTAGATCCGGTAAGAAATGTCATTATCGGCTCTGAGTAGTCGAAGATGTATGAAACTTTTTTCGAAACAGTGAATAAATTGATTGTTATCAGCAAGCCCAAGAAAGTCAAGGAAATCGATTTCAATATGACATTTCTGCAAATTAACAGTAATACTTTGTTTTTGAAGTCGTTGAAATACGTGACCCAGGTGCTGGAGATTAAATTCTTTTTCGAGCACTTCGATTAGACAGTTATAACCATAAGTCAAAACCTCTAAAATTGTTGTCAGTGAATCTCCGAAAAGTCTGAACATCATTTCTTAAACCAAAGGGTATATGGAAAAATTTGTAGACTCAAAAGGAGTTATGATAACCGTTTCAGGAACGTCGTCTACAACCACATGAATCCAGTTATACGATTGTACCAGGTAGATTTTTCGGATGAACAGTAATATCTTTCAAGAAAGCTGTCAATTTGCGAAAGTGGATAAACGGGTAGCAATCCGCAGTGGTTTTCGTACTATATCGTCGTCGAATAGCATGCATTTTGAGGAATATGTTCGATGCGGATGCCCAGAGGCCTTTTTGTTGTCCGATCCGATTTTGGCAAGGCTTAGCTAGTCATCAGGCTTTTGAGAATACAGCTGTTTCTGTAGTTGTGATGTAACAAGCAGCACTTCTGGTCACACACGTTAATTACGGTTATGTTCGGTTCAGTTTCGGGTACCCTTCGAGTACTGGTTGAAAGAACGGGTCGATTATGTGTCCAGCCGTGATAAGGCATCACCTACCAACAGAGACAGTAACCGCACAGACAATACAGCTTGCACCTGTTGAGAAGTTTAGACGGAATAAGTGATCGAAAAGACCGAACCGTATTGCGATTATACGTTGTGAAAAAAGTGGTATAATGTTTTTTCAGCCGGTTAGGTCTTCGCATTTAAGAACCTCTTTCCTAAAGCGTCGTTTGGTTCGAAAACATCACTGGCTAACGTGCTAGCTGTAACATACTTGTCCAACTCGAAGTAGTACGTTCACTACAGCGAGCAGTTGCACATGTGGATCTAGCTAACTAGGTTAATAAAAGTAATCCTCTATATTGTAGAACCAGGCTTCGATGTTGTCAGGCCAGAGCGGTGTGAGATCATAGATTGTGGGCTTTTGAGTCCTTATCTCAACAAGCTTAGGTGTGTGCTCTGACATAAGAAGTATAAAAATAATGTGTGTGGTAACCACTACAAAGTAAAAATAACATCACGGTGTGTAAAAATATTTGATAATATACTTTATACAAAGGGACAGACTGTTAGTATTTCGTTGAGTGTACTAGATCACGTCACTCCCATCAACGAGAATATCATGGATATTGAGAGCTGAACGAAGCATCTGCCCATAACTCCTTTCAGATGGAGGATACCTAAAACCCAGTGAAACCAGAAGTCAGGAAGAAAACCGAAGTTATATTTTGAACAACGTTGATATGTTGCGGATAAAGTGACCTATATTTGCTAACGGATGCAATATACAGCGTAACCTTTGATGGATTGATGCGGATGAGCGATTGAGGGCGTTCAGAAAGGATATGTTCAACACAGCCAATAAGTGAAAATCAATACTGAAGACTTACAAAACCGGGTAATAACTTGCCGCTAACGCATCTATCTACAGGGGCTGATGTCAGAATAATTTAGCAATGCTTATAACCAATATTTTATGCCTTTTGGTCAGTATTTTCTATGTCTTTAATTGAATGAGAACTGAAAGTACTACACAAGGATTTGAAAGTTTGTTTTATTGTTGCACTTAGTAATAGTCAAACACAGTAGCACTTTCAAGTGTTAGCGGAACCATGGCTGGTGAGATGATGCTGAGTGACTTCTTCACAGACTTTAATACAAATGAATTCGTAAGTCAGCCTGTTCCTTATGACGATGTCGTAGGACTCTGTTCAGTCCACTCAATCTTGGATGTCTGACATCTTCGAAACGTTAGATGATCAAATCACTCAAGACAATATGATTTTGGAAAATATTCCTGAAGAAGTGAAGGTCAAGTTAGATGCACCTCTATGTGATATTTTAAGAACAGAATGTAAGTTTTTTGGTTTTCTCATTCTGTAGCTGTTGCAGATGACTTTCTTGTCGGCGACGAAGTTGAGATCAGTGAATCTCCTCACTTGGTCTCCACATTGTTAGATGATATAGCTAATTCTGACGAATCTAGTGGTTATGCATCTTGTGTGCGATCGTCAAACAACTGTTCTCCTAACGTGGCCTGTACAAGGAATGAATCTTCGCGCCCTACAACCCTACGTATTGTCCCGATGCCAGACACACATCCCTTCAACACTAACTCATCTAACAAAATTCATGTCACGCGTATTAATCCCATCCCAAATGGCACTGCCACCGTTCAAACGGTTCTGCAAAAATCCTCTTCAGGACATGAAGACAAACCTAATCGTGTACACTTTATACTGAGACCACTAACTTCAGAAACATCGCATAAGCCTGTGTCTTTAGATGAAATAAGTATTGAAAATAAATCCTCAAGAAAAATTTCATATTTAAATAAACAATCACACGTAACCAGTAAGTTAAAAAGTGTTTCATTCCACTTAAATTTTGTTCTCCGTAGATTCTGGAGGTTCATATAAGTTTATTCACATCAATAAAACTGGAGACTCAACGTACGATCGAGATGGTGTCATAGAATCTGTTACGCCCGGTGGATCTCAGTCAAGCTCGGAATCAGATAGCAGAGATGTCTTTGATGATGATATGCCTTGCCAAGAACTTATTTTTGATAACGATAATCTTAGTGAAATTCCGCTTGACCAAATCGTTCCCGAAAGGTCGTTACTCAATCACCAAAATCTGAACAATCATACCAGAAATATTGGAACTAGTAATGGTCTTTCCAGGGTATTCGATGTCGATCCCCCATTCTATGAGGATGGTTCATCCAGTGACTATTCTCAATCAACAAAGATAACACAGAGATTTTTCCATGATCAGGTTAGTTATAAAGCAGTTAATAGTATTGAAATATTAAAAAACGCAACCGATAATCTAAACTTTTCATAACAAACCTGTTTATCATAGCAAACCTTTAGTTGAGGTATACAGCAAACTAAAATACAGGATTTCTGGTAGTGGTGCGATTCTAGTGTAACCTAAATTGTTTTCACATTGTCTCGATAATCGACAGAAATGTAAAGGTTAGTCTTCTTTGTTAAGGACATAATTTTAAAACTGACGTTCGGAATAAGTATTTTTAAATCTGTACCGAAATTTTCTTTGTAGCCGAAAAGAGGACTCCGGTGATGACTATTCGATACCGAGCTTACAACGCGTTGGTAAGAGAACATTTACTTTATACTTTTAATACCTGGCCTCTCCAGGCTAAGTGTTGGGGAAATCTATGTGTTCGACCATCGTTACTTACGTACAGTGGTATCATCATATACCGAAGCTTGAAAATGTGTTTGAACACTGACAATAATTCCGTTGCTATCATCACTTTGAAACATCGGTTTCAGTATATTGGGCATATATTTTAGTAATTTCGTCTCAGAAGACCACAGTATATCCTTTGAGGACGCTTTGGCTGGTTAAAAAGCGTAGAGGTGGCCAGTTTTTGACACTACTGGAGTATGTAATCAAAATTACATACCACTCATGTACAGAGTTCTACGTTGTTACTAACTGACTCCTGGAGTATGAAAGGAAACCACTTGTCCGGGGCCTGTCAATCCTTCATAACTCTGTTAATGGAGCTCGATTGATAGTGCAACTCAGTGGCTTGATACGTCAGGCTAAAAATGGAAACCACTGGGACTATGACGTAACTACTTTTTGAACTTTCCATAACTGGAGGGATTCTTCCTGGTTTTGTTCTTAACTAGACGGTTTCAACAGTTACAAATATTTTTATAATTATTTATCCCGATACACATCTTCCCTTTTCTCTCTTTTCATAACCTCGTCTTGTGTAATGCGTTAGTATTTTGGGGCTCGTTTGTACCAATAATTATTTCGGAATAAGTAGATTAAAGATGTCACTATTGAAAGCGGGCTCGTGTCAGATGTAGTTCAATTTATTGACTTATCTCTGATAGCTGCAAGCGTTTCACGTCTTCCTCTCAAAGCTTAAAATATCCAAACGCAAAACGTCAGTTCACGAAATATTCTTCGCTTTTCTTATGTCGGACCCTGGAGATTATTGCTTGTTTTTCACTCAATATTTCAGCATCTTTAAGAATAGATTGTCAGATCTTTTGGTAGTTGACACTATAAAGTAAATAAACATTTCTGTAGTGTTAATTTTTTCTTATGTCAATCCGCCGTATCGTATTCATAACAATATTTTTCTGCCATATTGAAAATTTAACCTTCATATTTAGTAATTTGTGTTATGTATAATGTATGAATACAATCGAAATGCTGATTATATTATCGTATCGCACTTTGTACATTCATGTTAATAAAACAGATGGTTGAAGGTTTTGTTCAGTCAAACCTTACCCCTGTGCAGATGTGCTATTCTAAAAATAGTAAGTTTACATTAAAGATCGATCAGTTCATATCATTACTTATCACTTATTCTATGTATTCGGTATGTTAAAATCCTTTGATTATTCAGCTTCTAAAAGTATGTTCTCTCAATCATTTTTATAGTTCTGACTCAAATATTTATGTCCGGTAAAATTTGACTTTCGCAATCGGGTGTCCACTACCTTCTTCCTTAAATTTACATGTTTTCTATTATTGCATTGCTGTAGATGTATTCTCGTATTCGCGGTACCACACGGATGGGGCAGTCTGACGTAAGTACATATGTGTAGTAGTTATTAAACCTAGTTCATTAATTTGATTCAGCTGAATGTAATCCTTTAATTACGTTTTCTGTAAAGTCTCAGACTAGGACAAAACAGCGGTCGAGTGCTTTCTGGTTTACAATGGTGGTCTACCTATGATGAGTTTGTAATACAAATTCCTAATGTTTGAGATGGTTTAGTATGATATTTGCTTTTATCTTATATTATTTCATACATCAGGGAACGTTTTATGACTTTTGGTCATACTTAACTCATGTCTTCAGTTAGTCAATGTAACTTAATGTCATGAATATTAATTATCACTAATCAGTTTATTGCTGTGTTATGTGCCGTGTCTGAGAGTTGATCGCGATACGTGCTAACCACTCAAACTTGCTACTTAAGCGAGAAGACAAGGACAAAAGAGAAAGTTTATTTAGCTACTGAATGATATGTACAAATGCTTGTCTACGTTACTCATGGATTTCCGTCCCCGGCGGTAAGGCCTTTTAAACAAGAGCTGAGCTAAAAAAGGCTGTGCATGGCCGGTCTCAAGCAGTTATCCCTTGGGCTCTGCGGTCTTGCTCCCAGGTCTCTAAGATCAACACTAATCTACCCTTTCAGGTTGCTCAAGAAATACCCTTCCACGGTGTGAGCAGCCGGGAAGTGACATCCGCCCTCATACCCGTAACAGCACACAAAACCGAATTGGCCACAATCAAATCCTTCCTACATTCCCATTATCTTCATGACTAACTCTTCTCACATTCGCCCCGCACCGCTAATACAAACGACTTGAGTTCACGAAACGTTATTCCTGAGTTCCTGAAACCCCGTTCTAAACTGCATGTTGTAGCTTTTAATATCTGGATATTATGTCAAATAGGGAAACAGGCTTCCTTAGATAGAACCCTAGAATCTCGCACCATCGACGTATGCTGCGTTTCTGAAACGCGCATACAGATCTCAAGGTAAGGAAGCTGCTCGATTTACCCTTCGTGTATCTGGAAACCCTGTAGTGTGCCGATAACTGCGTGTTCGTACGTTTCGTAATAAGCTCGTTCAGATTGTCTTATCCAAATGACGTCTGACGGTTAATAAATCAGAAGATGAACTCCAAGTATCGTATACGTTTATTGTAGCACACCACAATAAGGATAGCAGAGAAGCGAATTGGAGAAGGCTAAGAGCTAACTCAAAGAGATAGAGTATGACTAAGAATATATAGTCAGATAAGAATAAGACAGACATATGACAAGCGAAATAGATATGCACACACATGAATAAAAGCGACGAATGATTGACAAGATCAAAAGCAAGCGATACAAATCATGTGAGTTCATGAGGATATTAAGAGACTAACATTAAAGCGAAAAGTATGAATATGCGCGCAAGTGTAAACAATGTTCAATCATACCAGCGCATACAAACCACACAATAATAAAAGCCAATGGTACATATAAGTTATTGTTTTACAAATGGCTTGGTTAAATAAATTAATCGAAAGGGCTTAACCAAGTTAGATGTGAGACAACTGAAATATATGTAATCGAAAGGGCTTAACCAAGTTAGATGTGAGAGAACTGAAATATATGTGGAGGCACTACAACCCTTCTGCTACTTCTCGTGGTCTCGCTGGTGTAGGTATGACATTGAGTCCCTAGAGCAGAACCAGGCATTCTAGGCAGGATCCCAGTAGACAGTCGCTTGTGCTCTGTCCGACTATACTGTACAGTAAGGTCTAGAAAAGACAGTAACACTCGCCTTCGCCTCCTCGTCGTATCTGCCTACGCTTCCACTGACTGTAGTTCCGACGAGGTAAAAGATAAGTTTTACAGAAAGCTTTCGGACCTCCTCCAGAAAGTTAGGCGATCCGATATAGTAATAGTGGCTGGTGACTTTAGTCCTCTAGTAGGTAGATTAAGTGGATAGGAAAACACCTAGGTGGATCCAATGGTGTCGTGCCCCAAAGAACAGGTAATGGCGATCATGAGCTACAGCTATGCTCAGATAACCACCTATTTCTAGGAAACACTAACTTTAAGTATAAGGAAAAACTTCTTTTGACCTAGCGACCCCCAAAGTCGTCTCAACGATAGACCCAACTAGACCACATTGGCATCAGCCACCGAAGGAGAGGTTCGATAGAAGACTGTCACTCGTTCTGGGACGCATGTCTAGAATCAGATCATGCAATAGTGCGAGCGCGTATTTGTTTGCGACATACAGGACACAGGAAAAACACCGCGAGAAAACCCCTTAGGGTTCTACCTAATGATAGCAGATCTATAAATATATATTTCAGGAACACCTAGAGAAACAGGCGACCGTTTTAGTGATGTCATTCACAGGCAGCTTGGAATGATGTCCTAAAAGCTGTGGAAAAAAAAAGATATTCTGCTAGTAAGGTAAACCATAAGGCTAGGAAGAAGCCATGGATCTCAGTAGCATCTACCGAAGTGATGGATGCTCGCAAATTTATCCCACCTGGCTCTGAACATGATGAAGAACGAATTCAGCTTAGGCGCAGGCTGATAAAAAGTCTACGCAACGACCGCGAACAATGGTGGGTAGCGAAAGCAAGAGTGATGAAAAAGGCAGCGGCAACAGTAGACTACTATTTAGACTCAACAAGGAACTCGGTATTAGAAATCCATCTGTTAGCGGAACAATCTCAGAAAAGGATGAGACAACTGTTCATTCTCAAGGCAGGAGTTTGAATCGATGGGCAGAACACTTCAAGGATCATTTAAACTGGCCATGGCACAAATCCATGAAGTCACTGACAAGTGGACTGAGTCATGTTGGTAGATGTAGACTACCTGGTTGGGGTCCGCGAGACGAAAGTCATCAATGGTTAGAGACCTTGAACGACATGGCTCAAAATCGTTTGCAATGGCGCAGGTGCATCCACTCTTTGAGCTCTCTCAAATCCTAATCTTCTGGATTAGCCAGCACCTCTACCTTTGTCTTTCTAACCTTATCTCACTGAATTATATTTTTTGAATAATATCTTAAACCCTAGTCTTCTTTATTAACATTAATACCTCTACTATCTTTATCACTATGGGATTTGATTTGACATCTGCGTCCTTGTGCTAATGTGGTATGGCAACATGAACTTATGTACATACGTACGTAGTTCTACGTTGCAACTGTCTGTCTGTCTGTCTTTTACATCGTCTGAGTTTCAGCCATTGGGAGCGTAGGCAGAGACAACGGTGAATATCCCTATCTTTCCCAGTCCTTACTGTCCCGTAAACGAAGCTATTTCTTGTCCACTGATATGTATTCCTCCTTTAGGACATTTCCTAATCGGTCTTCGCAATTAGCCACTCCTGATTGGCTCACTACATGCTTACCAGGTCCCCGTTATGCTACTTTTATCTAGCGAAGTGTGTTTTGGTAGTCGTTATCTAATCAGGATGTTCCGTTCTGTTCAGGCAATCTACTGTGATATTCAGTATTTTCGTCTAGCTTGCTGCTCCCGGTATTTGAAAGATTAATTTTGCATGACAAAATAAATGTTTCAGGATTGAAATGTGTTAATGCCTGAAATTATAAACTGAGGTGGTTAAGTGTTGACTACGCTTAATTTAAAAATCCTATCACCCTTTTTTACTAACCTTCGACTCATAGTGTAGGCTGATTTGTCTATTGTTCTTTGCTGACATTGAAAGTAAGAGATAAAACCAGGTTTCAAATATATGATCATAGATGTCTTCAAATGATTACTCGCATATAGTGGGGCAACTGATATTAGGCTGGTCAAACTAAATGTAGTATACCTAGTAAAAACAGCCCTATGTTGATAAATCTTGTCAACTGAAAAGGCATGTATATGTATTACGTTTATCCAACCACTCTCTATCTCACTGCTTACATCTCGATTTGCTCAAGCTTGATCAAATGAAAATCAAACCCAGACATATCGAAACACAAGTTCATCAAATAGTTCACTGACAAACTGAATCATTTTAGTTGGTACAAACTACCTGATTGTGATCCACACGATAACCGTACTCAATAGTTAGAGATCTCGGGTAACATGGCTTAAAATCAGTTCCAATCGCGCAAATAGACGCAATCTTTACTTTCCCCTCTGTTTCAGGCTTCAATATCTTTCCTTTTCATCCCTTCTTTCAGTGATTAGAATTTCGCACCATTCATATTACTTTTACATCAATCTTGTTAATTTCATCTCACAGTGGTAATAATATAGCAAAATGGGTGACTCATTCACATATTGATTAGTTCGGATTTTCGACGAAATTATATCATCTGAGTCCTGCAGTTACATTCTAATAACGTAACAGTTAGACTACCATGTATATAGATGCTTAATAATGTAAAAATTGATCGAGAAAATATGTTAGCGTAGTGGGTAATCCATAACGTAAAAAAGCACAAAAATTTCAGAGTCCTAAAGCAACTCAAAATGAAAGTATTTTTCCGAACAAGCAATCCTTTTAGTTCTCTGTTAGAAACTAGCTAAGATACAGTGTCAAATGAAGAACAGAACTGTGTATTTGAGACCAAGCGTACTGACTAGAGTGTTGTTGTATGTATGAGGTATCGTCACAGTTGAATATAAGTGTGAAGAAACTCTAACTATTTTTGAAGCATATTCTTCAATACAATATAACTCAAAAATAGATCGCCAGCACTATATCCAGCATAAGCAGGACATAGTCGATTTCAACGAAATAGGTTTTTCTTTCTATACAGAAGGACTGACGGCCGAGGCCTTTATTTACGGATAGATACAAACAATCTAAGTGAACGGGATCAAGTGCGATTGGTCTAACTGTGGTAATTATTAATTAATATGTTAACATAAATTTAATCTACTACTCATTTTTCATTTGATTTCGTGAACATTAGCGTAAATCTATTTGCTTTTATCAACTGTTACGCTTGGCTGTACCTTGAACAACTAATTCGTTATACGTGGCAAACATGCATTTACTTTTTTATTCCCGTTCGATGACAAGTTTGCGACTATCAATCGGATTGACTAACCTTTTTCCTACCACAACCTGTCAGTCAGTAACAACTTAGAACTTAGTACGTACGTACATCAGTTCAAGTTGCCATTACACAGCACAAAGAGATGGGATTGTCAATTCAAATCCCATAGTAGACCACAACCTGTAGTTATATACGATGAGATCTGTATACACAGATGCATCTCAACATATTTCGTGGGAAATAACTAGTCACACGGAGAATTTCACATGTTAACATTCCACCATAGTTGCTCGTTTGTTTCGTTCACACTTGTTTTAGAAACCCTTCTTATATACGGTAATCGATTATTTTCCTGAAACTCAAACCAGGTTGCCAAATAGTGTCAGAGGTATTTTCGAATCCAACTACTACAGTTTTTGAAAATTTAATTCCCTTTATTAAGGTCTTCTGTACACTCAGTGCCTAACTATTTGTTGATATTTGGACAGGATTTGGTATAAAACTTATGATTTTTGTCCAATTCCTACATAGTAACTGCTGTTGTATTTTGGAACTATACATTAACGTACCAGTTTGTAGCTAAATTTTAAGCATAGCTACAGACCGATACGTCAATGTACATTCGTAGCAGGGTCGATGTTAACTGTGACTCAGATTAATATTTTTCATATAAATAATGAACTTAATTATTGGAATAGTTTCTTTTATTTTAGTTCGTTCAATGTCAACATGTTTCTCTGATTTGACTGGATATATTTATGTGGCTTAGTGTACGGTTATATCTGATCCAGATTTTTTTGTCTGTTTAATACTAAACAAGCAAATCTCAATTTTGTTAATTGTTTATTGTGTTTGAGGTGTTAATTTGTCAATAGATAATACCGCTCCATTAGCATTAATATTTTTCAGAATTCATTGTTATTAATAAAACTTGCACCTGTTACTCCTAATGGAATACAGTCTACCGACCAACATTCTCCAACCTACTCCGTTTTCCACCTTCCTTTCCCGTTCTATTTAATCGCTGTTCATTCTTTTCATGTCTGCTTCTGATTCTCGGCTCATTATGTTCTTTGGTCTTCCTCTTCTCCTTTGACCTTAAGGATTCCAAGTGAGGGCCTGTCTTGTGACTCAGTTGGGTGGTTTCCGCGATGTGTCCTATCTACACCTCCAGCGCTTTTTCCTGATTTCTTACTCTACTGGGATCTGGTTTGTTCTCTCCAACAGTAGGTTGTTGCTGATGGTGTCTAGTCAACCTCCTCAGTTTTTTGCGTAGGCGACTGTTGATAAACACTTGTATCCTCTGGATAATGGCTTCCGTGGTTCTCAAAATTTCTGCTCCATGCAGTAGAACCTTCTTGACGTTTTTCTACACTATACGTAGTCTTATCTTTTGTTAGGCGTCTACATCGTCACACATTCAATAGTAACAATTAAAGAAATGCAGTGTAGCCTGAAATATTATTCATTGTTAATTGTACGAATTAAGAATGATGCAGTTAAACGTCATTCGTTAAGTTTTAACCATCTACTCATAAACACTGATACACCCTAGTTATTAATTTAATTGATTCGATATACTATTCATCCATTCTAATCAGGCTAAACTTTGAGATTTACACTTTTTTATAAAGTTTGGTAAAAAGTCTTTTAAGTAGTTAGCCGTATTATTCATCAATTCTGTTTTCCCACGTGACATATAGGTTTAGAGAGGCGTAGGCGAGATACTTGTTGGTGAAATAGCGAGTTTGCTTTTGAACTATCCGTTCTGAGTTTCATTTGGGTTCCAAAACACGTCTTTTGTACGCAAACGACATCCATAGACCGCACGTATTTGATTGTCCTCGAAGTGTTCATTGCGTATGGTAAAACTGAAAATGAATCATTATACAGTCAAGCATGAGAGCCTATGGAAAAATGACCAGTCTGTTGATCAGACAATGGAGCTTTCACTGTCTTAGGTGACTAAAACATGTATTGGCTCTGCCTGCATACTTCCTACCATGCAGCGCAGTACAGGCGTCCGCAAATATAAATTGAAATTTACCTTGAGGCGGCTAATCTAAGATACAACAGCCAATAAACTGATCGACTAAACCACTTCAATAGATGTAAACTCCTCTATTGGGATCTGAGTGGTGTTTATGATTAATGGTTGAAGATCCCAAGTGATATGTCACGCAACTATTTCAGTGGCAAAAATATATTCCATGTCTTAAATGTTATGCTGTTACGTCAAAACACAGTTCTTACACTGTTTGATTTCCCACATAACCATATTTTCTGTGATGTTTTTTCTACAATTTATAGACACTACATCTAATTTTACTCTGATCTTCATATTGTTAGTTTTTTTTCCCTGTGTCAATATAAAATGTAGTAGCCTAAGCCAATAAGCCTTCGTACTGCGTTCTGCGTTCTTTTGTTATGTACACTTTTACCATTACTCAGTTTTAATTTTACCATTGTCTAGGCTGTTTGCTAAATTTTTTTGTTAAGTTGTATGTTTTCGGCTGGTAAGCAATTTCTTATCAAACACTAAGTATCTATTAGTTTTTCAATAAGTATTATTTGGTTTCGTGACTAAGTTACTAAGAATTGTTCTGTGTTTTATCTTAATGTTAGAATTTTGAGTACAATGGACAAGTCAGTTAACCATAAGAAAGGTTAAACCTATCAGATATGTGCATCAGGTCAAGTTGCTAAGACAGATAAGCCCAGCGGCATGAAATTATATGAACAAATGCCATGGTAGTAGTGGTAGTTTTAGTCGTCTTATGATTATACAAAAGTGAGGTGGTGAAATTATAAAAACAGTATACAATAATTTGAAATCTCATAGCAGATCCAAATAGTAAATGCCTCTGCACTACTGGGACCTATTCCGGGTTATATCACCTGAAGTTTCTAACTGTTATTTGGTATACCCACGTAGATCTCAGCCAGATAATCCACCTACCAATACAGGTCAGTCAAACGGTCATCGACTTCATGGTCTGGTACAATGTTTTCGTCCTCATCCTTAACTTCCAACCCACTCTTACACTGAAAAACATCAAATGTGGAGACAGACCATCTCATTCTAATAAGATTCACTACCTTACCATCTATTTTTCCATCTTTATCTAATAATCCACATCTAACCTCAGCATTACTCAGTTGATTGTCCTGGCACATGCAAACAATGTTTTGAAGACATCTATAACCAAACATTGATAACCTATAAATATCCTATGTTTTCAAAAGCTACCATTACGCAAACATTTTCAGTCTACTTTCAGGTTCTATTTTGTTTCCTCCGTGTTGATGCTTTTCAGTAACATATATTCCATCTCGAAAAAACGTTTCAGTTATTCAAACTCACATCACAGAAGTCAGGTATCAAAGTTTTCTTTTTCATGTTTTAAAAGATACTGCCTAAAGGTACTATGCAAATGCTTTACCTATGGTATTAATTTGACAACCACTTTCCAATATATTTTTGCCGAGAATTAATTATCCTTGATTAGTCTTTATATTTACAAATAATGTTGTCTCAACACTTTTCTAGATAAATCATCCTCATATGCTTGTACTCACAGAGGAAGAAAAACGCACTTTGATTGCAGAGGGTTATTCCATCCCAACACGTCTACCTTTGTCTAAACAAGATGAAAGAAATCTTAAAAAGATTCGACGAAAAATTAAAAACAAAATAAGTGCGCAAGAAAGTCGTCGAAAGAAAAAGGAGTATTTAGAGGCACTAGAAAAAAAGTAAGTCACAAGCGATCTATTTCATTTATTTTCGTTAAACAATTATTTTATTGGTACATATGTTTCCAAACCGTAAACGTTTATTTACCCAGAGTTGAGTATTACATCAATACAAATATTTACACTTTTCTATTTCAAAATCACTTGTATTTTCATAGTATTTACTTTGCAACTCATACTTACGCAATTTATAAAGCACACTGTATACTTTGTATTCTCATTTTAATTGAACATATCCCGGTCATTTTTATTATTGTTTCCACACATTCACTGTAACTAGCAAATATTTCATGGCATAAGTCAGCATTTCGATATATTGTTTTATAACTAACTTTAAAAATAATAGCCTGAGAGTTGTTATATATAATAATTTAGATTGAGGTTAACATGAAACAGGAAGGTTATCCGATTGATTTTGCATTCAAGAAAGCATATCTAAGATTTAACATCAAATCTGTTTTCAGTTATATGTGTACACATTCTAAACAGAAAAGCAATTGAATCAGTAAACTCTCGTTTCCCATTTTATGAACATAGCGATTGCTGTTATAATCCAAATAAAAATATGATTATTTCTGAAAATTACATTTCATAAAAAGATTCTAGGACTTTGTCGAAGAATATCTTCATGAAAACGATGACACATGCTTTTCTTATTCCTTTTCTTATTAGAAGCATACCCAATTTATTTTAATTATGGCATACATTTAGGTGTTAATTTGTTAATCTTAACTATATGTAATCAAGCATTTCCATCTATACATATAACGTGTATTTGTATAATCAATGATATTGTTATTTTCTTATTCACAATAATTCAGTTGAAGTACTTGTAAATAAAAATTCTCTTTTCTAATAGACTAAATTAATATGATTATTTGCTAGCTTCCCTATAAAATAGAATATTTAACAAAAGATGCTAATTGTATTCGTTTTTATAAAAAAAAACTGTTTAATAGTATATTGACTGAGGTCACATAAATGTGCTTGTCTTTTTTTCATGTAGATTTTTCTTCTCAAACTACATCATTTTAAACAAAATAAGAAGCTATACTCCATTTTGCATATATTTTACTGATTATAATTGTTGTGCACTAGATGCAAGCTTTATGTGTATATATTTTGAAAGAGCTGTTCTCATTAAAAAGTATTGTATTGTCTATTGTTGTACTCTCAGTACTAAAATTTTGAAATGTTTGGGAATGTTTTCTCAAATTTTTTTCATTAAATTGTGAGTTCCCACAATATGTTATGTAGCTTAACTACCAGTTACGTACCAGTTTGCTACTCTTGGAATGATACTAGAGAGTTTTTATCTATGATACCCTTATCAGAACGTCTAGTTACTGGGCAGATTCTCACTAGTTTGAAATGTTCATGGCTACCGAAATAGTACTTCGTCTTACTAAAATCTCCGTATTCACACTACTTTGTCTAAATTTTTGAAAAAATTTATTGTATGTAACATGTAGTGAAGCTTCTGTTGATTAAATTAAGTGTTTAACAAAGTTATTAGGAAACATCCGTCAAATCATCCACCTCACCCCTTTAGCCTTTGATCAAAATAAATTAGACATGAAACATTCATCTGATTATATTCAAGCCTAAGACGAAGTGGTTACTTGATGTTCAACATCCAGTTCAAAAATTTCAATGAATTTAGTCGTGTTAATAATATTGCTTTATTTGGTAGATCAATGAATTGACACTCATTGAATCAAAAGCAATAAATTATTATCGTACAAATAGAATATTTTGAGTTGATATTCAGTTTATAGCATCTTTTAAATTTTTGGCATCTTTCTTTGCTAATTTCATTCTCTTTTTTATAATTTCATCCTATCTATAAAGTTCTCCGTATAGTCCATAGGAGCTTTACGTGTGGTTCACTTCAAAGTAAACTTGCGATTTTGCATCCTGGGTTATATACTGATGAAAATACAACTGGATCAATATGAATGTATTCGGAGTCAATTTTCAGCATCTGAAATACAAAGCTTCGAAGCTTACGCATAGGTTACCTTTATTTATGCTGTTTTCGGTGTCGTACGAAGCAAGTTATGTCAACTACATAAGCTTGTTGTTTACGAGACTATTCAGACGGTATTACTTTTACTTCCTAGACTATTTAGCGTATTTGTTTATTTCATTCTACAGCTAAAATCTCACTAATATCCTTACAAATCTTTTGGCCTAATCTTCCAAGTACTGTTACTCTCACTTTCGCTTTAGATGGCTGTTGACACTTTCTAACCTCCATACACCAGATGTTCCCTCTCTTGTTCCCACACTATATTTGTCGATTTCTACTCTTCTTGATGCTTTATTACCCTTAATATTATTGTGTGACCACTATTTACAATTCACGAACGTCTTGTCAACGACTAAGATTGGTATTACACATTTGGTAAGTGAAATCATCGTAATGAAAACTCCCCTCGAACTTGCTCTATTTCTATTTTGTAATAATGCAAACAGTAGAGTTCATGCTGCTTGATAATACTCAATTTTACGTACCACTTTATAATGTTCTCCTGTTAACATTGAAATTTTAAGGTTCTCTTTATTGACAATATCTTAATCGTATTGTCGAAAACACGATTATACCTGTCTGTCTTTGCATTAATGAAAACTGATAGTCATTTATTATTTAATGGTATGAAAGTTGTGTTGTTCTATCTAAAATCTTTGTTTACTATACAGTAGAAAATCTGTTCTTTTTTAATACGCCCAGAATTAATTTAATAATTGTACTCATGTATGTGTACATCTATTGCGTACTTGCCTACATCCTTACATATTTATATACACGTTTCCTTATCGAAAACTCCGCCTGAAGCCCTTCTAAGGTTACTGCCGGTTGTAAGCCGGGATAAAGGAGGAGGATTAGGCTCAGAGTTAGCAACTTCATCCGGTATAAATCAAACTTGCTAGGAAAAACGCTAACCAGAAAGTCCTTGTGTTTCTACTTGTTAGAATACGTAAATAGTGTCTCATTGAAGTGAAGAAAGAATATTAGCTATGAGGTAAACTTAATAAAATGGGATTTACCACTCATCATTTTGAATGTATTAGGTAAACCAAGATGTATTTGTTTGCAGAGTACTGTTTTTGTCTATTTCTTCTCAACTTATCAATTCTCTCAGTATTTTTATTGTTGGAAGTAATTACCAAGATATATATATATATATATATATATATATATATATATATATATATGAACTCATTGCTCACTCTGTATAGGAATGTGACTATACGCCTGACCGTGCATCAATTTGCAAATATGGATTTAAGCGCTATAAACCTATCATGTACGTTATAATTGTTTATATAAAGATCCATGCATATAAGGAGTACGTTTCTCCACGGTTTGAGTAAATAGAATATTTTAAAATCTATATGAACATGTTGATTGAGTAAGGTACTTATTACTATCGGTATTTTTTATTAGTGCATTAACATGTACTCATAGTTCACCGATTTGCGCTTGCACTTTGCATAATCATCAGTTACTCAAGTTATACCAAACTAAATATTGTAGAATAAATCACTCATGTATTCTGATGTAGTAGTCAGTTTATATTGATTTCTTTTAGACTGAGTAAACATCAACGCCCATATAGAAGGTAGATTGTTTTTATTGTGCTAAACTTTTGTTTGTGTCATTTACTAAATGAAGTGTTATTTAAACTTTAGCAACTGATGCTAATTGGGTTACTGTGAATATATCTTTGTAGTTAATTCTTGCTTTTAATATACTTATGTCTTTATTGTTTAAGTGCATAGTAATTGTTGTAAGAGTCTTTAGACTATTGATATACAGGTATTTAGTTTAATTTTCAGTCATAAAAATATAGCATTTTGTACACATGCATTAAGTGAATCTCAAGATTCATCGTACACAATTCAAATGCGAATAAGCATACACTAATGTTAAAATAAATGGTATTTATTTTTATACGTAGTAAGAAAAGCCCATGGTCATTTCAGTTACAAAGTCACATCAATAGAAAAGTTACTGAAAATCATAGCTTATTAAGAGATCTTTACACTCCAGAATATTTAATTGAGATGTATAGTTATGCTTTTTGAAAGGGAGCATTGAAAACTATCATAAGTATTAAAATAATTCAAAAATTGCCTCACTACAAATTAAGACATTTTTTAAACATCTAAATACGTATCTTATTTTCACGTTAATGATTATTTTGGTTCTTGTCACTTACAACCACTTAAATTATGATTTCAGTGATATTTAACATAAACAGAGTAAATCAATAGCTTATATTCATACTCAGTCACTGATTGTAGACAGTAACATTCTTTCTCTTGAGCGGAATAAACCTTCGCTCTTTGATAATCTGTCAAAATTCACCATACTAGAGGCATCTCTTCATATTTCTAACAGTAACAAAAATTATGCTGCACTTTCATCGGATAATCTCTGAAGCTAGTATGTATCAATTTCTTATATCTTAATTCCATGGTGTTATCACTGAAATTTGTCTAGTTATTTATGAATTACATTCAGTAATGATGTCAATATATTGAATGTAGAAAATAAAATAACAGGGTGTTTTATTAATCTATGCTTTCTGTGTGTCATTCATAAAAGTTTGTTTTCTTTACTGATTGTTACTTTATTGATTGAATTTTCTGCATGCTCAATGATGTCGTAAACTATGGTTTCTCTCAATGGTATTTTATACATTGACCTTTCATCTTTATAAGGTTTTGTAAATACTTTTTTGGTTAATTTTGTAACTAATAGGCGAGCTTTGCACATACTATTTTTTGATGAAGTGTATTATATTTCTAAACTACTAATACATTACACAGGTATAAATAGTAGCTTGTAGTCTAAAAAAATATATTCCATAATACTGTTTAGTTTACACTTTTTTCTCCATATTTGTGTGACAATGTTGGTTGTATTCACGAACTAATGGATATTTTAAAAAATCCTAACTGACTGCTTCATTGACATGGTTGTTGAGTTCCCCCATCTTAATAAGCTAATTCAACTTCATTGACCTGAAAAAATTTTTTTTAGATCCTATCATCATTCCGAGCAGGTTGGCTAGTGAAGAATAGTACTAAAAGCACCAACAACTAGTCTTAGGACTGAACGTAGCCTTATCTAATTGATTGCGGTCGCTGATCATTCTGGTTAATACAATAGAACGAAAATGCTCTTGACAATCACAGAGAAATCAGTATAACTAATATAGTGTTTAGGAGATAACTATTTATAATCATCCGATGCTTAATTTGTACTTGTAAAGAGCTAAAACGGGATTCAAAGAGCTCGATTAGCTTTTGCCAACTTGGGTCACTTTGATGCAGACATATCCGTTTGCCAAGACGAGTATACTACACAACGACTCGCTCTGTTTTACCTTATTGGTGTAAAGCGTGGCCTTTAAAAATATAAAATATTTGTTGTTTATTAGTATCTAATGCTATCTGTTTGCATAGCATTGCTTGTGTATTTTGGAACCACCGACTATTCAGTGCTGAGGCGGAACACTAGGTATGGCACACTGTTTAGTGAGGTTTTAGACCTTCACCGGCTGTTGTGATTGGGATTTTCATTACTCATACTCAATCGCTGTCTACTACTACGGGTAATGATGGTTGATGTAAAAGTGAAATCAGAAAAGCTTGAATACGTGAAGTCATAACCAGTTGGACTGACCCTTATATGTATGCTCTGACTACTTGATTGTAGTCTCTGCGATTACCGTAGGCAAAGGTTCGGGACCTTGATTAACAGTCCAAAATAATTCACTATTATGCAGGTTCATTCGCTGATTGTCTTCCCTTATATCTTCAGTTTCTTAACTACTTCTTGAAAAGTTTTTGTTTTGATAAATGCAAATTTTTTATTGAATCAATCCTGTTGTTAATAACTTTTCTTATGACCACTTTAGTGTCTCGCTGTGAGGATTCAGCTAAAGAACCTAAACCAATGCACATACCTATCAAATTTACATTTACATGACTACAATTGTGAATCATCTTCGCATAGATTTAGGATTATAGGCTAATATCACTTTCTAATTTGCCACTTGTTTGCAAACTATTTTTTATACAATAAAACGAACGAAACTGCTTGATAAAATGTAAACCCAGTTTGCAGTTTGCGTATATTTCATCGATATCTAATAATTGTCACCATTAACCTAATAACTAGTAAAATGTGTTTAAGTTCTTTCAAAATGACACTTAATTTATGTTTGTCAACTTCAAAATGCGCAGCGGATAATGCTTCATAAACTCAGTCTTCTGTCTTCGCAAAATCTCAAGGTTCCGTTGTTTCGTATCTCATGGTTTTGTGCCACTGGCTTCGAGCCACAGGTAAGTATCAGAGAGTTCCAACCCAAAATTGTATGAAAGGATATCGTGTTCAATTTGCTTGACCACCACGGTATTTTCATTTAGTAGGAGAAAGTTTCAATTTATTTACCTGCTTGGTTGTGTTATGAAACTAATATTTAAGCTCTTATTCGAAACAAATATTAACATGATAATGATTTCAAGTTGTTCAATTAGATTCCTCTTAACACTTTGCATGAATTGTGATATATATTACATTGTTTTCATTGAAAATGCGCGTTACAGGGAGCATAAATTACTTATTTCTCTCTGTGCAGTTGAGGACTTTAAATGCCGGATATTGTCCTTAACGTTTATAACTGGCCTTTCGTATGCTCATTTGTATCGATCTGACCTGTTAATTCACCAATATACATAACGCCCTAATCCTTAAATATATATAAAAATATAGGAAGGGGACGTGTGTTTGTGCCTTCAAACAATTTAGATTTTGTTTGGAATTTTTGTGTATTGGTTGTTTGTCTTATTATTGTTATTTTTGTTTTTATTCCTATTGTGTTCAATCAATACACATCGTCCAACGAGAAGCCTGTCTTGTGGAGATAAGAAGTAATTTTCGGACAAAAATATATATGGTCTTCATTTACCGATTATTATTGGTTTAACTGCGTATAAAACGAGGTTTAAGGTTATTATGGATAGTCTATCAATTCCATCTATCTGCTAATATATATCATTGTACAATATTATATTTCTTTACTTACTCGATTATATGCTTTCAGAAATCACGTTAGGTGCAGCAAGTGTATGTATTTTAATTAGCATACCGTTACATAACCTTTATGGAATACTCTCTCCTATTATTTTTTCTAACAAGTACCTAACTAATTTCTCGACCATTTTATTCTTTGTCGCCCTCTATCATTATTTATCACATTTATGTTATGATTATTATTTATCAACTTAACCATTTTGTTTGTCTAATTAAGTTGACCTTTTAATTTGAACTAATCAACAGTTGAGTTTTTGTAACTCGAATATTGTTTCTTTTCTTTATTTTTAAATTTGGCATTATTTACGATAATCAAAAATGCACTAACCAGATCAAATATTTTAATTAAGAAGAACGTTTTAAATTAGATTTAAATGGGTGTTCTCTTTTTATTTCTTCACAATTCATTGTGCAAGCCACTAAGATCCATTAGTATTTTTAACGTTTTGGCAATACAGTTTTTCTTTTACGTACATTATCGTTTTTTGGTTGATTCGGTATTGTAAAATCAATTGTCCAGTCCATCCTTTCGTTATCGGTCAGCTTTTGTTCTTGTAATCTTAGCCTGGTCTATTTTTGTTTTTTAAAAATTTTATACAGGTGTTTATAAGAAAATTTCCGGTCGTTTTTATATCCAGTTCATTCATTGAATCAAGCGCAACTCTTTGAATGATTGATTTAAGTTTTAAAGACCTTATGTCTGTTCATAGATTCATGCAATTTAACAGTTTATCATTATTTACTAATTCACTTTCATTTATGATATTTTTTCTTTTAATTGTAAATGTTTATATTTTTATTATTTTCTGACATACTAATTTCTATTTTAGAGTCAGTATTTATTCACAAGAAAATATTGATTTAAAACGTCGTGTGGATGGCTTAGAAAGTACAAATCGTTCGCTGTTAGGTCAGTTGCGTCTGTTACAGCAACTTGTCAGTAAATCCAAATCCAATAACACTTCGAGTTCACCATACTCCACCGATACAAACAAAACTGGGAGTCATTTGACTACGAGCAACAGTGCCTCTGTTGATTCTTTGAATCGGATTTCTCATAGTAATGGTTCACCGTCCACTTGTCTAATGGTATTTACCTTATGTTTTGCCGCCTTATTGATCGGGCAACCTTCAGGAAACGGTAGTCAGAACACAAACTCTGGTTTAAGCTTTACTTTGAGTCCTCAAAATTCTTTCAATTTTTGGGTATCACAAGTTCCACAACGTCTGGTATCTGGTTCACTCTCACAGGTAATCAATTAATCACTAATATCTCGTTTTTGAATAAATACTTTGTGTTACCATATTTGCATGTATACATCTCATTTAGTAGATCTTGAAATACATTTGTGAATGTTTTTATCAGTGATAAATGAGAAAAGGAATTATTTGCATCATTATTGATGTCCGTAAGTGTCACTTGGATTAGACCTCTGAATGTTATTACCCAACAGATACATAAGAATAAGTGGATTAGTAGCTATACATTAAACAGATTCTGTATGCTTTATTTGATAATATTCTTCAATCCACTTTGTATTCGCAATTATTGTCAACGTTTTTATGCATAGTTTGTACGTATATCAAGATAGCCTAATAAACCTGAAAGTAAGTTATAGTTAATATTGCTAATTATACACTTATGCGTAGAAGTATTGATATTTTCATTATTTTCTAATTCTAGATTGGTTACTCGTTCTCAAAACAACCCCAGTTTAATGAGTATAAGCATAGTCCTTCCGACGGTTTTGGTTCGAAGAAATATGATTCCCAATTTATGGTACATAGTTCACCTGAAGAACAAACGTCAGAATTAGATGGTCAATCTCCGTCACATTCTTTGCTTGCAACTAAAAAATTTCATGGTTAGTTCCTATTAAATGGAATTTTCATTATTATGTGTTAATATACACTCAACCTCTTGTAGATGTCTTCTATAACTGGTATCGTATAACTTTTTATTTGTAAGCCCTTATTAATCCTGATTCCTATTATTCTTGTATATTCTTTCTATTAGTTTTGTTGTAAAGCTAGATTCATTTAACAGCACAATATGGTGTTTGTGTATTTCTTACAGACGTATTTAAAAACCTACATGTACGCACCGTAGAAAGTGAGGATTGTATATGATGTATGCTGAGTAAATTTGACGTAACGATCGGTTACTGTGTTGCATAAATTGACTAGTGAAATGAATTGTTAACTTTTTTATATACTTTTGCATATAGTACGATAAATATATACAAAACAAATGTACAAATGTTGGATTTGCGTAATCATATCAAAATATCAAATAGATAACACATATGTTTATCAGATTTCTTCTACTTCAAACAAAAGTACATTTGCTTAATGGGTGTACATAATATAAAGTTGTTACATACAATACAATCTTTTAAAAAATCGTTTTACTTTCAGCGACTTGGCATCTAACTCCACTTTGTAGCAACAATTGAATATGCTATCTATTAAATTATTCATCTAATTTCCATATCCTATTTTTGGGCAAACTCTGTCTCTGTGATGGCAGTTATGAAAAGCCGAATACGGTATATTGTAGATGAATTTATTTCATACATTCACGTAGGCAGGCAATAGAAAGAGAAACGTAAAAGCAAATCGAAAAAGACAAGTGAGCCAATGTCTTGTGATGAGGAGTGACTAAAAATTTATAGTCAGAAAAAAATAAACTGGACAGATGGTAAATGAACTACGCACATACTACAGCTGAAATGAAAATTCAGACTAATTTTATATTCTATTTACCGGTTAAGTTGTCACTTACGTGCTATCGCTGTTCAGATTTTAATTTCACTTCAGTAGTTAATCATAATAATTGATCATCATAAAATTCAGGAGATTATTGCATTAGTTATCATTTATAGTCCCCTTATACGAATAAGATTGTTTTTATTTCCTGTGTTGCGGCTTATGTACTTTGAAGGTATCATTATCAAGGTTTGATTTGATTATTTCAAATAACTTGAGTCTTGAATGGTTTGATACATATAAAAGTTATATATTTATAATATCTCAATGAATACAACATAGAAACCTGACATTACGTGACTTTGTGTGAACCATTCAGTCAGAGAATAGATAAACAACTCAAATTAACCCAAGTTTAAGTAATGTATCGGAACACAGCAAAATACTGAGTACAAACAATCGAAAAATAGAACTGATCAAGCCCAGGTGATTTATTAAGACATGCTAATATGTTTATGGGTGTGAAATTTTTTATGTTAAAAGATAGAGTTGAATATATATTTGCCTGATTATGGTGTGAAATTTAGATAGAATTAGACGTGGCAGCTCCGATAGATGGTCCAAATTAAATTTGTATTATGGCCTTTTCAATTGAAGGTAGTAGGATTTGGCATTATATGGAAAACTTTAGCTACTAGCCTTTCTTTGTAAATTAAAGACCCTTTTTGTATTATTTTGATATCTTCAATATGAAATTAATGCTTGCAGAACATAGCATGCACTGCTATTGTCAATCTAATTTAAAGACCTTCAAGTTCTTCAGGATTAGTAAGTGGCTTTTTATGTACCCAAGATGTTACGATTTAACGAAATGACTCTCTTGTAGAAAAGATATTACATTTAACAGCCTAATAAGTAAAAACAAACGTGTGTAAACATAAAATGGATTTTATCCTTTATACGAATTAAAGCATTTCGAAAAATTCTACCTGTTTTGTAGTACGCTTCAATTCTGTTTCGTTTGAAGACTTTTTAGTTCTTCTGTTGTATCATAGTGGTATGGTAAAACCACGATACCAATCTATATTTCATTTCATGCAAACTATCATAGTAAATTGCGTCGTTTTAATTCACTTTTAACAATATACAATTATTAAATTGTAAGATGGTGACTATATGCTTCCGTCTTGGTAACTATTCTGAAGAGACTTAGAGCCAGAGAAATTTTTGCACTGAATTAAAGTCACACGAAGATTAATGTGTTGATTTTCGGTAGATACTTAGATTTATGGTTCATCGTGTTCGTTTATTTTTCTTTTTCGGTATCATAAAGTTCTAATTTCGCATTTTAGGATTCCAAATTATTTTCCTTTAATCATAATGTAAAGCACCCAAAAGTTATTTCCTTTTTATGGTATATAAATACGTTCGAGTGCATTTTTTCATATTTGTTATATTTCGTTTTTTATCGACCTTCAGCTCAACGTTCGAGACTTCTCGGAGAAGCGAGCGAGCTGGAAGACTGCGCTCCTGGACATTCTTTCTGGTCTTATTTATTCGGAAATCCGACTTCGTCTAAATATCAAATCTGTAGTCGGAACGACGATTCGCTAATTGCAGACCATCAGCTTTTTGACGACATCGAGGGAGGTTTGGTGTTCACTCCGTTTCCTGACTCAACAAATTCTAAATCTTATTCCAAATGCAATGTATCCGATAGCTCTGTTCACGTAACTTGGCCACTTGTGATAGAATCATCTTAAAGTATATCATTCAATAAACTTAACTATCAACATTTTTATCTTTCATGAAGTGGTTCATATCACCGTGTCATGGTGGTACTTTTTTTTGAACCATTTCACTGTGTATGTGATACTCTTATCTGCTATTATGAATTACTGATGTTCATTTTTAACTTAAGTGCTAATATGTTCATTTGTCTTAATAGTGTCTTCTTTTGTGATACGCTATGATAATGTTATACTTGTAATCCGTTTTATTTATGATTTCTCGGTTTTTCTGGTGGACGGTTGAGTGTAATATGTGTAATTTATGTTTCTACTTCTTTTTATATATAAAGACCACTGTACATGTGATTTCAGTGGATATGCTCCTGACATTCTTTATTCTTGTGAAAGACAAATCGTAATTATTCACCTAATTAGTAGTCCAACCTTCATCCACCTAAATTTTTAACTCCATAATATTGTTATACGTTTCTGATCAATTCACTGTGTGTACTGGAATTTTCGCTATGAATCGGTTATGTTCATTTTCTAACTAATAGATAGTTTCCAACTCAATAGTATTTTCGATGTCAGATTTTGCATGTGTATATTTTTGCATTTATCTAATGAAGTAATAATTCTTTTGTAATATTATTGACTGACATATTATTCTCATTTTGGTGTGCATGAGAAGAAATGAAACTGTTGTTCTACACTTTTTGCACATATACACCAAGCTCTGTTTGTCTCTTATTCACTCTTTCTTAATTGCTTTAATTTCTGGTTGATTGATTTGAAATAAATCCTGTCACGACATAAGAGAAATTATCTGTTGCTGAAAATATGTAGGTCGTTATTTGTATGAAATTCTGTTTTTAAAGTTACTGTGTTAAAATTTCTGTCTTTAGACGCAAATCAGTCAACTAACTATTCGATTGTGTTTTTGTCGGTTGAGTAGTTTTAAATTTCGATGGTGGTTAGTTCATCCTATAGAATTTTTATACTGACAATCAAACGACTGGCTCATATTACGAAGTCTTCTACATCACAACGGACTAGTACTTACGTAAATATGAAACAGTGCGACATCAGTGTAGAACGTGAAAGGATAAGGACTTTGTATACCACGAAAAAAGAATGAATTCCCTCCAGCAGTATTGATCTTGATTCTGTTTTTGACTAATATTTCACCACTCGGGTTACTAAGAAAATTTGACCTTGTCTATGATCTCTATAATGAAGAGTATTCTGCAATCCAGATTCCGGTTAGCTGTGGCTTGCTATTTCGTTTCTGGTATCTTTGTTATGTTATTTGGCTGTTTTGATACATCAACGGAAAGTGGAACTGTTCAAAAACGGATGAATCATCCCTTTTAATATTTATGAAACCAAACGAACTGACAGGGCTTGACAAGTAAAAACTCGCGTAATGGAACTGCCAACTTTATCTTCGTGTACGGTAGAGATAAAACTATCGCTGATACTGTTATATCCGCATAAAGAATAAAGTAAGTAGTAACCCAATAACCCAGTTCATGGATTCTCGTTGTTTATAGTCTAGCTTCATAATTACTAAGTAACTAGATTATTATTTATATATATTCCCTGTATTCTGCGCTCTTTACTAAACACTTAACTATTGTTGTATTGTTTATCACCTAATATTCCCAATCTCCGCTACTCACAGTCACCTTTAGCTCATTCATGTTTAGTTGTTAATATCCATTTATTGGTATGATGTGGTCTGCTTTTGTATGTATATTAATGATTGAAATACAGTAACAAATCTTGGAATAGCGGTCATTGGTATTTGTTCTTCCTCGATGATTGAAGAAAGTTAGTATTTAGTCGTCATTCGAGGATAGAACAATAAAGTTTTCTATCGTTTTCGTATATTGGTTACTAAAAAATCATCTGCATATTGGCTCGTTTAAAAAACATGACAGGTGCTCCGTGTTAAAATAAACTGACTTGACAGTGATAATTAGGCTGTTATGCAAGGCAGACGATAATCTGTCTCCAGATATTCGGTGTTATGTCAAGCATCATCTGTTGCAATTTTATCATGCCTGAAAATCGGCCTTTCTCTTGAAACTTATATGGTTATGGATGATAAAATTTTATTATTTCATACAATTCTGTATGAACAGTTGGAATATGGACATTTCCAAGCTAAGTATAAATTCAAATGTGTCATGCTTTCTAAAGCTCCTCATCATCATGGTAAGTTCTGTTAGTAGTTATAATTTTAACTTTATCATTAAATGATTTCCTATTTCTTTTACCCGAACTATATTAAATCTAAATCTACCGATGGCGAGAAAATTTTGGTGTGTTTTGATTTAAATAAATTCATTTGTTGAGTTCAGTTTACTATCATATAATCAACCATCAGTCCGTTTCTTCTTCGCATTTTCATCTTTGATTTGTTTATGCTGTCAACTTAATGTCCCCGGAAAAGAAACAGTTAAACATACATTTAGAATTTCAGTTGCGAAAACCTAATTTATCATTGATTTTCAGATAATATGATTAAGGTTTATTGCACTATTACAGTTGAGTACATGACAGGTCATTTTCTTGTCACTCCACGAATACTTCTGCTTCTTGTCATTGAGATTATCTATATTCAAAACCGTAATCTGTATGACCCGACCTTCTTGTTCTCAATACGCAATGAATAAAATAACTATAAGACCGTAATTCAGTAAAATATATGTAGTAATATATTTATTGCTAGTTCAAGATTAACTGCTCTTACCAAATAAAGAGAGATTCTCTCGATGAACATGTCAGTTTAGCTAACTCAAATGGTGATAAATAAAACAATCTGTAAATGACGTTAGTAATCGTAAAGTTTAATAAATTTTCCGAAACAATAAGTCTTACCAGCTTTATGATAATCGCCGAAATCGAAAGTCAACGATGGCGAAATCTACTCAACCAGGGATTACCGAAAAATGGAAATGCAGTTGTCGAAGCGACAAGACTTAATATTTACAGAAGCTCTAAATAAAGATATTCAAAAATGGATGAATGGTAAACCCTTTCTGTATGAATTTATGTACATGTAGACAAAACTCCCTCCAAAGTATACCTCTTATGTGACGATAACCCATCACCATTCTCGAATGGTACGGTCTGCATTTTGGACGAGTTTATCTGCAGATTTCAGTGACATGGTTTGGTTCCTTGTCCCTCTCCACTGTCTTCATTTTATTTCATTAAATCACTGAACTTTCGTTACTACCATGTTGTTTGTTAGAACTTTATTTTCAATCTACCGGTGCTCTGAGTTAACACATGCAACAGTGAACAGATATTCATTAACAAGACCACTCTTATCTCTTTGAAAATTCAACTTTGTATTTTTTACCATATTATTCAAATGATATCTTGTGTCACTGCGATGATTTTAAGTATCGCTGAATGTTATTCATTACAAGGTCTGGTCGGAGTTTTGATAACAATCGAAAACCTGGAAGTACTTGGGAGCTGTTTGACTCAGTGATACCTTATGGTCTGATCATAATAATACTTGGGGTACAGAATACCGACTAGTGAAAACGCTTATTTTTCGATGGTGCTACTTCTAATGCGCACAAATCAGACTATATAAATTTATCCCAAAATTATTTGAGTATTGATCTAATTAATTAATTTGATTCAAAAACCTTCCGTTGTCGTCAAACTACAGCCATTGTTTTTAGTGGTGTTTGATTGGAGCGTCAGAAATAGGGTTTAGAAGTCACATAAAACATGTTGAGGTGATGAGAATTGTGGGTGTAACCATGAATAAGAAGGGTGTATTTGTATTCAAGTGGAAACGAGTGTTACGTTACCTGAGGACTTGCATGTAGAAGGAATCTCCTCACTTATATACACACAACCGAACATCTATATCAAAATATTTGTTGAGGACGTTAGATCCCCAGGATTCACCTGATAAAGGTCCTAATTTTGTCATTTTATTCCGGAATTTTGGATTTTATGCTTTCATGCTAAAGACGCTTATTTTAACCAGCTAACATACCCCCCTCGGGTAACCTTTGTCTGCCACTGATTGAAGAACTATTTTAGTACGCTATTTTGTGGCTCTCACGAGGAGCATTTTACCATTGTATGAATAAACTTCACATGTGTGCTTGTTGACCTGTGGAATACATTGTCTTGGTTTTACCAAGACTTCCTCCTCTAGCTGGTGGGGACTATGACGATCGTATTGGAATAGCCTATCGTGACACTGACTCATTGATCTTCGTTACGTATACCGAATAAGGTGAACTCGGTCAAGTTAACCAATATCAGACCTTTACCGGGAGATTAACTCCGCCTGTAGAACCTTCTGGAGCTACTGCCGGTCCCAAGCACGGATACTCTCGTCATGAAGAGGAAAATGCTTCACATACACAAGGAGTTGCACTGATTCTCTCCAAACAAGCAAAAAAGGCGTTGATAGGATGGGAATCTCATGGACCCAGGATCATTAAAGCATCCTTCAAAACAAAGAAAGAGGACATTACAATGAACGTCATCCAATGCTATGCACCTACAAACGACTACTATGATGACGATACAGATCAATTCTACGAAACGCTGCAGTCAATGGTCGAGAAATGTTCACCAAAGGATTTGACCATTCTGATGGGAGACCTAAATGCCAAGGTTGGAATGGACAACACTGGATATGAAGACATCATGGGACGACATGGACTAGGAGAAAGGAACGAAAATGGTGAGAGATTTGCAAACCTATTAGACTTCAACAAACTGGTCATCGGTGGCACAATATTCCCACACAAGCGCATACACAAAGCCACATGGATTTCACCGGATCACACTACTCAGAACCAAATCGACCATATCTGTATCAATAAAAAGTTCAGAAGGACCATGGAGTGTATGAGAACCAAGAGAGTATCTGATATAGCCTCAGATAACAACTTGCTGATCTCCAAAATGAAACTGAAACTAAAGAAGCACTGGACAACGGGGCAGACAACATCACACAAGTTTAATACAGTCTATCTTCGGGATACAGATAGCCCTCAGCATTAAGAACCAGGCCTTGCAGGATTTCCTCGATGGAGAGGAAGCAACATCGGAGAACAAATGGAAAGGGATCAAGGAGGCAATCACTTCAACATGCCACGAAGTTCTGGGTCACAAGAAGTAACATCATAAGGAATGGATCTCTGTTGCTACTCTTGCGAAAATTGAAGAAAGGAGGAACAAGAAGGCAGCAATCAATGTCAGGCGAACAAGACAATAGAATGTTAAGACACAGGCTGCACACACAGAGGCAAACAGGAAAGTGAAGAAGAACATCAGAGCTGACAAACGAAAATATTTGGAAAACCTAGCAATGACGGCGGAAAAGGCTGCAAGAGAATGAAACCTCTGACAGTTGTACGATTCAACAAAAAAGCTCGTTGGAAACTATCGTAAACCAGAACGATCAGTGAAATGCAAGGAAGGGAAAGTATTCAGCAACACTGAAGAATAGCGTAACAGGTGGGTAGAGCATTTTAAGGAACTATTGAATCGACAAGCTCCACTGAACACACCCAACATCGATGCAGTATCCACGGACCTCCCAATTAATATTGGCGCATCTACGATTGATGAGATCAGTATGGCCATCAGACAAATCAAGAGCGGCAAAGCAGCAGGACCAGAAAACGTTCCAGCAGAGGCAATGAAAGCAGACGTGGAAGCGACTGCGAAAATATTTCACATCCTCTTCAAGAAGATTTGGGATGAGGAACAAGTACCATCAGATAGGAAAGAAGGATACCTCATCAAAATACCAAACAAAGGCGATCTCAGCAAGTGTGAGAACTACAGAGGCATCACTCTTCTTTCAATACCAGGCAAAGTCTTCAACAGGGTATTGTTAAACAGAATGAAGGACTTCGTAGACGTCCAACTTCCAGACCAACAGGCTGGATTTCGTAAGGATCGATCGTGTACTGACCGAATTGTTACATTACGGATCATTGTGGAACAATCAGTTGAATGGAACTCACCACTCTACATCAACTTCATTGACTACGAAAAAGCATTCGATAGTGTGGACAGGAAAACACTATGGGGGCTTCTTCGACACTACGGTGTGCCTGAGAAGATAGTCAACATTATACGGAATTCTTATGATGGATTCAACTGCAAAATCGTACATGAGGGACAGCTAACAGACTCTTTTGAGGTGAAGACCGGTGTCAGGCAAGGTTGCTTACTCTCACCCTTTCTCTTTCTCCTGGTCATCGACTGGATTATGAAGGCGTCGACATCTGGAGGGAGGCACGGCATTCAGTGGACAGCGAGGACGCAGCTGGACGATCTGGACTTCACAGATGACCTGACTCTTCTGTCTCACACGCAACAACAAATGCAGGAGAAGACGACCAGTGTAGCAGCAGCCTCCGCAGCAGTAGGTCTCAACATACATAAAGGAAAAAGCGAAATTCTCCGATGCAACACAACATGCACCAACCAAATCACTCTTGATGGAGATCCCGTGGAGGACGTTAACACCTTTACATATCTAGGCAGCATCAT